AAAATCACCCCGTTTTTGCCCATTTTCGGTCATCCGTCAAAATATCTGAATATCTGTCCGGGGGATTCTCCCCAAACCTTGCTCAGCTGATCCAGCACGGGCCGTAGGCCAGCCCTGGGCAAAGAAACCAGTACCTCATCAGGCTTCCCTGAGCGTCACAGCTCGGTGATCGCGCCGGCCGGACACCACTGTAACGTCCGTTCCGGGCATTTGAACGCGACCTTCGGGGGCAAAGACATGGGCTCTATGGCTCAGACTGGACTCCTCTTGGTCCCTTCTGATGCCCTAGGCCACACCTGGGCCTTACCTGGGGTTCTAGGGGCCGGCCAGGGTTTGCCTCCCTAAAGGGGCCCGGAGAACCTTAAAAGCAGAGTCTCACAAGCACCCTGGCACGACAAGGGCGCGGACTGGCGCGGACTGGCACACTCACCGGCTCACTGTCGAAAAGAAATAACAACTCGCCCGAGCGGAGCTGGGAATGTGGGAATAGGACCGCCGCAAGCGGCGTGGCGTGGAGCGGTTGAGCATCTCTCCGGGGGCCCCTCTGCGCCGGGGAGGCGTTGTTGGAGGCTATAGGACGCAAGCGTCCGTCGCCCTTTTCGACATCGTCTGTGGACTGTGCGCTGCTAGCTCGCTCGCGCTGTTGAAAGAATTTACGGCAAGTGCGAAAGAAATAACCAGCGGCTTCCGCCTCTTCTGGCGTGTGGTGGCGGCGTGCCGTCCTCCCATCCCTCCCTTGGCTTGCCTGTTTTCTTTCTTTCTTTCTTTCGGCACACCTACCGGCACATGGTGAGGACGGAAACAGAAAACACCCAGTTCCTTACCAGCTCCGTAACCAGAGATGTATGTGGTTCGCGCGTTCATGGCCAAGATTATTGCGCTGAAAAAATCCCGGAGAGACTTCCACCTAAAACGTCTTATGGCACAAAACCCGAACAGACCGCTCGACCTAGTCCAGACCAGTCTACCACCTCCCCCAGTCACTGTCAGACACCTACGCGCCATTCGGAGAGCTCTGCAAAGAAACAGGCTCGATCGAGCTCCACACGAAACTGATAGACGTCTTCAAATCACACAACGTCTGGAACGACTTCAACGGAAACCACGGCCCCTCTTTTCCCAAAACTCCCCCTGACTACCCACGCGCCACGGCTCAACCGGGTTAAAGCAAACAGGCACCGCACCCCCCCCCCCCCAACCCCCACACACCTGCCGTACGAAGAGGTACGAATAGCCGGACACAGGAACGGCACAGCTCAACGGTAGATAGAAATCCCACACACGAACACTCACCTCTCGCACAAACAGGTTCCCAGAGCCGGACGCAGGAACGGCACAGGCCAAAACACACCCACACCTGACGCACGAACAGGTACGAACAGCCGGACGAAGGAACGGCAGAGACACACACCCAGCCGGGGCAAGACAGAAGGCCGTCGAGGGGACTACCCTGGTATCCCCAGCCTGGGCTCCCGCGCTGCGAGCCGTGGGCCCCGGGGGCGACACACATATATGCCGCCCCGCGCGGCCGCAGCGTCCAGCGCAAGGCCTCGTCGTCGTCCTGTCCCCGCGGCGTCTCCGGACCAAAAGAGGCAGCGGCTCCTCGAGGCGGCCGAGCGTCGTCGACGGTCGGCGGCCGAGGCCGAGGCCGAGTCGGGCGGCGAGTCTGGCGCGACAGTGCCGGGCACCTCGACGGCGGCGCAAGGGCTCGAGCTCGCTTTGGACGCAGGGTCGCATGGGCAGCACGCTGGCCCCCCTTCGCGGATCGCGCTCCCTCCCGGTGCGGTGCTGACGGTCGGTCGCGACACCGCCTGCGACGTGACTCTCACTGCCCAGCACATCTCGCGCCAGCACGCCGTGCTCCGCGTGGCGGCATGCGGGCGCAGCGTCCGGCTCGAAGACGTCTCGCGGAAGAATGGCTGCCGCGTGGAGCAGCCCGGCGGGGACGAGGCCACCCTCCTGCGGTCGACGGCCCACGAGGTGTCGGCCTGTCAGCTCGGAGACGGCGACTTCCTCACTTTCGGCCTCTCCAGCGCGCCGCGGTCGAACGAGTGTTCCTTCCGCTACACCGTGCGTGCTGTCGCGGCCGCTCCCGCAGCCACCGCCCGCGTCGCCGGCGCGGCCACTCCAGTATCCACAGCGCCTGCCGCGCCCACTGCGCCCGCCGCTACCGCCGCGCCCGCCGCTACCGCCGCGCCCGCCGTTACCGCGGCTCCCGCCGATACCGCCGATACAGCCGCTACCGCCGAGACCGCCGATACCACCGCGCCTGCCGCTACTGCTGCGCCTGCAGCGCCCGCCGCTACCGCCGCCGCTGCCGCCGCGGAGGCGACGGTCGATGGTGGTTGCATGGAGCCGGACCGGCCGGGCGGCAGCGGTCGCGACATGAACCGCGAGGAAGGGCAGGCGCCTCCGGCCCCGGAGCCCTCGGAGGCAGTGACGACCTCACAGATCGGGGTGGCGGCGGCTGATGCAGGGAACTCGAGCAAAGCTGACGACCGCGCCGTGGCGAGCGGCGGCGGCGAAGAGCGCGGCGCCGAGAGCGACGCGAGCGACGCGAGCGACGCGAGCGACGCGAGCGACGGCGTCACTTTTGTCTGCGTCGGGAGGCGATCGGTGGGCGCGACGCTCGCACACGCGAGGTACGACTGCGAGGTGGTCCCCTTTGAGGAGGGCCGCGAGGAGGAGATGTGCCCCTCCTGCTGGTGCGGCGCTTGCGGCGTGCCCGCCGCCGAGTGCCCGGACTGGCCTTCCCACTGCAAGACGACCCGCGCCGCAGCGATGGCGTGCCACGCGGCTGCGCGGACGGAGTCGCTGCGGGCGCGCCTGCAAGCCGTGCCGCGGCCGCCACCGCTCGATCCCGGCTGCTCGGCGGCGCGGCTGATGGCGGAGCCGCGCTGGGGGCCGATGCGCTTCACCGCTCTCTCGTGGCTGGCCAACTGCGGCAGCGCGGAGGAGGGCGTGTCCGCCACCGTCTCCGCCGTCCACGGCGTGAGCGCTCCGGCCGCGCAGGCGCTGCTCGCCTCGCTGCAATCCCTCGGGGAGGTGATCGCCCTCCCGTCGCTCGGCTTGCACGTGAGGCCGGGCACCAACATTGACGTGCCGCCGGCGCCACCAGCGCCGCTCTTCCCACCGCCGCCGCAGCCTCAGCCGCCGCCGCCGCCGCAGCCCCGCCCCGCAGCCGTGCTGCCTCACGATGTCGTGATGCAGATGCTCGCTTCTGCACCAGAGCCGTGAGCCCTATGCTGAGAGTGTGCGGTTCACCGCTGTGACGTGCGTCCCGGGAGTGCGCTGAGCGAGACATGTCTCTCTGTGAGAGAGATACGGGGCGCATCTGATGCCGAAAAAAGTGTAAATACGCAGTACGAAAAGTGTGGACACACGCGAGACTCCCGCGTGACTTTTAGTCTAAAGTATAAATAGAGCCGCGGCTAGCTCATATATAGGGGAAGTGGAGAAAGTGCTCGCCTCAGGCTCTCTCAGCGGGAATCTGACCCGGTGGCTCTCCGTCGCCGCTCGTCGCGTCGGGCCTTCGCGGCCTGCGCCGCCTCTGCTTCGCTGTGCACCGCCTGTGCTTTGACCGCGTCCGCGACCGGCTTCTCGGGCGTGCCTTGGTCCGCATCCACCCTCGGCTCTTCTCCCACGTCCAGGCTGCCCTGCCGCCGCCGTTGCCGCCGTGTCGCCTGGGCCGCACGCGTGTCGTCCGCCTGCTCAGCCTCAGGGTGTTCTACTGCCGTCGCTCCACCACCCTCACTTCCGTCCCTGTTCCCGCCTTGCTCGCCCGCCACTGCCCGCTTCGGTCGCCCATCATGTCCGTCGTCGTCGTCCGCGGCGCCTTTTGCAAAGGGAAGCGCCTTCCGGAAGCGCGCGCCGAGGGAAGGGGGGTCCTCCGCCGATGTGGGCGCATCGCCCTGCTCTGCGCGCCGGGAGGATGCGGCGCACCACTCGAGTGCCTGGCCGTTGGGAAGAGGGCAGGGATATGACATGTGGGCCACTAGGGATAGGCTTGAGAGTGTGGGCGGACCTGGGCCAGGCCGTCTCCGCGGAGTGCCGAGACACCGATGCACTGGCAGTGGCGATCGCGGACTGTGTTGAGGTAGAGAGCTGCCTCGATTTCGGGCGCGGGCGCCGCGCTGGCCCGATCTTGCTTATTTGCGACCACGAGCAGGGGCGCACCGCCGAACACCGGGTTGTCCAGCACGGCCTGCAGCACGCGAGGTCAACAGGGTCTGAAGAGTGCCTGGAAGAGTGTCGATCGTGTCTCGGAGGCGTCACGGAAGTGCTATCGCGCGTTGCTCCTGCAATTCCCGCGCCGCCTCGAGGAGCCGTCGCCGGTCACAGGCATCAATCACGTAGAGGATGGTGACGCCGCGCAGCAGCGGCGGAATGCGCCCCGCGAGCTGCGCCTCACCCGCGCCCGCGCTCCGTCCGCCGGCGTAGCTGGCCCAGTACTGCCGCAAGTCCTTTGCACCACCGACATCGACAAGCTCAAGAGGGGTTCCGCCGACGGCGACAGAGCGTGAAGCGACGCCACGAGAGGGCAGCGTCGTGCGCACGTCCTCGCCGCACACGCGCGCAGCGATAGAGCTCTTGCCAGAGCCGTCGATACCGAGCAGCAGCACCCGGTGGGGCTGGTAGCTGGTGGCCGCACCCATGACTGCGACGATGTAACCGTCAAAAACTCAAAAAACCCTTTTCTTTGGTCTGGGTGTCCAGAAGGCGTATTGTTGCACGACAAATTATAACATTTTTCTCTTTTTAATTGCGCTGGTTCACCGAAAGTACCACAGCTCGCGTCGAGCCCGCTGGTTCGTCGCACTGAGCTACAACTTTTGACTGTGAGAGCTAGGACTGTGAGAGCTAGGACAGCTCAACACCAGGCAGCAGCCCAGGGACTTCTTCGAACGACTGTGCGACGATGGCTTGCTCGGCCCCGAGCTCAACGACTAGCTTGACAACAGGCAGCCCGGGGACTTCTGGTTCGGAGTGGAGCACCCCGTCAGGCGCGTGCTCTCGCTCGGAGAGCACGCCGCAATCGTTGCTCAGCAGCCCGCGTTCCCCGATGCTGGCTTATGTGGACACGACACTCGGGACCTTCTTTCTGCGCCATGGCTGCGACATTGGGTCACCGCTGCTCCGCTCGCTCTCGGCATCATCCTCGCCGGGTGTCTCGACATTGGGTCACACGCTGCCGAGCCCGCTGAGCACCCTGGTCAGAAGTGCAGAGTATTCAAGCTCGGCATCCTGCGGCTCTGAGCCGTCGCTGTCTCGTATCGACATGTCCCTGGGATCCTTCACCCGCCGCTTCGCCCACGAGATTGGCTCTCCTCTCTACCGCTCACTCTCTGCGGCGGTCTCGCCGAGGCCCGAGGGCTCCGAGGCAGCTCGGGCCCCCACCTCGCCAGTCTCGCTCGGCCCAAACCGGCCGGGTGGAGCGGCGGGATGGAGCATTGCAGCCGATCGGGACGGTGCTGTCACGGAGCTGTGCGGCGGCGCCAGCTCGAAGCGGTTTACGCGGAACCTGTCAAGTGGGGGCCTCGATTCAGCGATCGCGGGCCTGTGCAAGGCAGGCCTGGAGGAGCGCGAGGCGGCATCTGCAGATCGATAGGCGAGTAGAGAGAATCTGTTTCACTGAGCGCGCTTCCAGCAGGCAAGAACGCGTGAAGGTTCGTACACTATATCCCCAGCTAGTAGCTGAAGCTAGAGTTGCGGGCACTGAGAGAAGCGGAGAGAGTTTGTGTCATTGCAACGTATGAATGAATGCCCTCTAAACACTAAAGCTGAGATTACATGTGGGGGTGTGTTCTCCTCTCGGGCTCGGCGTGCGGCGGCGCCACTGTGATATTGCCGACCGATCACGATCCAGCTCTCAAGACGACACAAACTGCGCGTGGGGCCTTTAGGGGCCTAGAGAACACATCCACATGAGCCGATGGGTGAAAGGGAAGACCCGCCCGAGGTCTGATGCTCACCCATTGAGGAAGTGAAGAACTGCTGCTCGGCCCACACACCCGGATCCTGCTGAACAAGCAGCTCCTCTTGTAGCTCGATCGGTCACACCGCCATCGCCGCCGACGTCTCAGTGTGAGATGAGGGAGAGGGGGGACGACACTGCTTCTGCAGCGTGCACCTCGATCCTGTACCGTGTTTGTTATGACCCCCCCCGATGAGCACACCAGCGAGGGGGGGCGAGACGGTCGAGGGGTCCCGTACCATGCAGAATCGACCCTATCCAGTGCTCCAGTGCTCAACACACCCGGCTCTCCCTTCCCTAACAATGAAAGTAGCAACGCGGAGCCAGGCACGGTAGGCTAACCTCGGAATGTAAGCGCACTTGGCTTGCTGTCTCCTACACATCCATCTTACCTAAGGATGGCTGAGCTAGCTGCAGTGCAGCCATAGCCTCCAGGCCGATGGCTGCAATACACACAGGGCAGCCATCCTGAGTAGGGTTGGCTGGAAGCTCGCTGCTGCAGCCATACCGCACGCCCCGGGGCGGGCCCTCATGGCTGAGCTGGCTATATCGCAGCCATCTTGGGTAAGATGGCTGGGGGACAGACATTTCAGCCATCTACTATGGCTGGGGCACACAGTCAGTGCAGCCATCCTCCGGAGCATGGCTGGTGATAATTCGATGGCAGCCGTCCGCCGCCCCCGCCACACGCACAAATGGCTGCGCGCTTGCCGCCCCCGGCCTCGCGGGACGGCTGCCATTGGCTGCCATCGAATTATCACCAACCATGGCTCTGGAGGATGGCTGCAATCTCTGTGCCCCAGCCATAGTAGATGGCTGAAATGGCTGAAATGGCTGTCCCCCAGCCATCTTACCCAAGATGGCTGCGATGTAGCCAGCTCAGCCAAGAGGGCTCACCTCGAGGCGGGCGGTGTGGCTGCGGTAGTGCGTCTCCAGCCATGTCTACTAAGGATGGCTGCCGTGTGTGTGTTGCAGCCATCGGGCTGAAGGATGTGGCTGCACTGTAGCTAGCTCAGCCATCCTTAGGTAAGATGGCTGTCTAGGAGACAGCACAGCCATAGTGCGCTTACATTCCGAGGTTAGCCGGCACGGTAGTTCGATTTGCTCGATTTGGCGACCCTCCGCCGCGAGCCCGCCCCTGCATCCCGGGGGCCCGGCCGACCATGCCAGCCGGCGCCCGGCCGGCCGGCGGGCCCAACCCGAAGCGCCCGGCCGCTTGGCGGCGCCGTTCGGCCGACGGGGCCAGCCGTGCGGCGCCCGGTCGCCCGCCGCAGGACCGGGCCCGAGCGGCCCACGCGCACAGCCTGGCCTCAATCGCCACTCTCTGCGGCGGGATCGGCACCGTCGGCGCCCTCTGGATCCTCCTGGCACTCCTCGGCTTCCTCCCGACGGTCGGCGGCACCAACCCCGTGCGCTTTGAGTCAGACTCGATCCTCGGCATGCGCATTCTGAGGAGCCGCTCCGACTTCCCCACAACTGGACAGTACCTTGCGTATCAGCGAGACACGTACACGAATGTGACCGGCCGGGATCTGTAGCTCGAGGCGGGACGCACGACTTCCCTCTTCAAAACCATGACCGAGACACTCGACCTCGCCCGTACCAACATTCGCGAGCGGCGTCAAAACGGACGATTTGAAGCCGATCAAAGACCTGCTAATTCGTCAGCATACAGTCTTGAAGGCAACAAAACACTTCGGCCGCTTCGTTCTCAACGACAGCGCTCGCACAAGGCCGTCCTCATGGCGGAGGTAGGTGCGATGACGTATTAGACTACATTTGGAGGCAGGAAATGTTGCTGCACCACCAGGACAAAGCAAGTCTTCAAAGATCGAGAAGCTGCAACAACTCCTACACAGTGAAAGGCAACGCACGGAGCTACTGATGGGAGCAGTTTTGGTATGCGCCTTCCTCCTCTCTTTCCTAAAAGGGTTGCAGGATTGGCTTCTGCCGCGGATCCATGGCGAGGTGCGCAAGGCGTGCCTGTCAGAGCAATCAGAGGGGTGGCCGTTCCCGCAGCACGACTGGTTCGAGTTCCAGTTGTTGTCGACGCCGAGACGGTTGACAACTTCACGGCTTGCCTTCTCCGAAGTCTTACGGAGAGAGAGTTGAGAGAGAGAGATTTTTAGGAGGCCAATGGTCCACAATTCACAACGCTTCCAATATTGATTGTGTACCAGAGAGACAGGTGTGGGAGCTGTGGGAGCGGCCTCTTCAACTGAGCCAGTTAGTTAGTTAGAGGCGTGTGTGAGTGGTTGCTATTTTCAGTGTATGTAGCAGTGTAGGTAGCTCTTACGTACATTCCCGGAGGAAGGAGCACTGCTGACGGGGGATTGCGATGAGAAGCGAAGCGATCCGAACGTGGCATTTTCAACGATCGGCGTCCATTCGTCGCAAACACTTGTGTGCCGTTTGCGTCGCTGGCACTAGACGCGCCACGCCTGGAGGGCGGGCCCGGCGCCACATGGCGCCGGCCAAGTCTAGTTTCTCCCAAAAGCTAAAAGCAAAACTTGCATAGTCGCGAAAAGTACGGACGGCTACACGGTGTCAGGACTGGGCATCGTAATGACTCTTTCACCCTCCGCCGCGTCGGGCGCGCGCACCCTGGGGCGTCTACCACTTCCTATCTCTCTCCGCAGTTTATCACCAATTCTTGCAGCGACCTTCATGCCACCTCGCATTCTTCTCACTCTCGTCGTTCTCTCTCCTGCTGTCTCTTCCCCTGACTCATCGCTCTCCTCGGCCTCGTTCTGAGACGCCGCTGTCGTCTGCCGATCTCTTGCTCTCGCTGCTTCTCTCGCCTTTCTGCGTAACTCCGCTCTCCTCTCCGCGTATTTTGGTCCCTCGAGTTTATCGAGCATTCCTCGCGCAAGGACCACATTTCTGACTCCCACTGCGAGCATATCCCGCCCTGTCATGCAAGGGAGGGAGGACGGCACGACGGGCTGTTCGGGCTTCTTTTTCCCAGGGTGGCATCACACGCCTAACCGCGGAGACACCCCGCGACCCCACCCTCACACGCTTCAAGATGCGCGCCTCCGCCCGATCTCTCGCGCTGCTCTGTCCGCTCTTTTGCCGGCCGCGCGGGTGCCCGCTGCTCTGTGCGCCCGACTCTCCAAGCATATCGCCGACGGCTGGCGCGACGCGGTCGCGCTTCGGGCAGCACCAGGGCGGCCGCTCGCTGGGCAAGAAGAAGAAGATCCGACACCACGTGAATCCCCTCAAGGATGTGCACATGCAGCCGCTCGATCTTCCGGAGCGATGGCCAGAGGAGGGCGCGTTCACGCAGCCCGACCTACCTCTGCACGTCGATATCGGCTGTGCCCGGGGCCTCTTTTGCCTCGACCTCGCCGCGGAGTCGAGCGGGTCGGCAAACGTACTCGGCCTCGAGATTCGTTCTGCGCTCGCCGAGGCGGCGGCGGAGGATGCACGGCGCCTCGGCGTTGCCAACGCAGCCTTCCTTCCGTGCAACGCGAATGTGAACCTCGAGGCGGTGCTCTTGCGCGCGTCGCGCTGCGGCCCGTTGCAGTCGGTCTCGATCCAGTTCCCGGACCCATGGTTCAAGGCGCGGCACAAGAAGCGGCGCGTCGTGCAGCCGGAGCTGGTCGAGACGATCGCGCGCCACCTCGAGCCGGGCGGCTGGCTTTTCTTCCAGACGGATGTGCTCGACCTCGCGCAGGACGCGCGAGACACCATCCGGCAGGCGGCGGCAGGGACGCTCCGCGATGCTCGTGAGGACGCGGGCGATTGGGCGGCTCCGAAGCCGAAGCCGCTCGCCTGCGTGAGCACCGAGCGCGAGCGGTCCTGTGCCGAGCTGCAGCGGCCTGTCTACCGCGCCGTCTTTGAGAAGCTACCGGCGGGCATGCCGGCGGGGCACGAGAGGAGATAGCAGGCATGCCGGAATCCAAGGGTACTGCGAAAGTTTCATCGTTTAATAGAGGAGATAGCACTTAGCAGGCATGCCGGAATCCACAAGGGGGTACTGCCCGAAAGTGTTTCTCTTCGTTTAATATGTACCACGCGCACGCTCTCAGGACTCGCCGAATCCGGAAGGTGGCTTGCCAGAGGAGAGGGCGGCCCGCCGCTGGCTGGCCTTCGCCTCCTTCATCTGCTTTGTGATCCAGTACGAGTCGGACGCCACGGTTGCGCTCATGCCCATCCCGAGCGAGAGCCCGAGCGAGCCAAAGGCGCTGCTCCGCTTGGAGAGCAGGGGGCGGAGCACGCCCTCGGGCCCGCATAGCGACGAGCGCGGGTCGAAGTCGATTACGACGCCGGCACAGCCCGCGCCGCGCAGCTCCCTCGCGCGCTCGCCGGAGCCCGCCTCTCCCTGAGTCGGTCAGCGAGGGCGAGCAGTGAGGCGAGGCGCGCGGGGCGGCTGGCAGCGCGAGGTGCGCCTCCCCAAGCTCCGCCACGACCCGCGACCCCTCGGCCTCGCCGGCGGCAGCGTCTGCGCGGGCACCATCACTCGCCCCGGGAGCAGGGAGCTCGGCCCATGCCGCTGCAGAGGAGAGGATCAGCGGCGATGGCGTCGCGAGAGCCTCCTGCAGCTCTGCCGCAGTCGCTGCCAAGGGAACCAGTGGCAGCGAGCTGGCTTCCGCCGCACCCGCGGCGACAGTGCCGCTACGCGCCACGAGGGCCTGAGCGCGGCAGCCGGCAACGCCGGAGCTCCCTGCTGCTTCAAAGAGCACTGGGCATGGGCCTGGGTACTCACCTGCCGAGCCGGCCTGCTCCTCAAGGAGCACATCTAGCGCTCTCGCGTCGCCCTTGAGCACAATAGCCGACGCGCCGGCCAGACGGAGCTGCTCAGAGTACTCGCGTAGCTCCGTGTCTGAGAGCGGGGCGTCGTCACGCTGCAGCAGCCGCACCATCACTGCCACAGTGTCAGGCGGCTTCCGGAGCGCGCGAAGCACTGGCGTGTAGTCCAGCGTAGGGGGCAGGGCACTGACGCCGAGGACAGCACAGAGCGACATATACACAACACGTATATGTCGGCAGCGCGAGCCGGGCTCCGGTACCGGGTATGCGCTAGACACGACAAAGAATTTGCTTCCGGCTGCTGCTGTTACCTCCGGTCTCCCAGTGGAAATCCAGTTGTCAGATGTCACGATGCATCCGAAGGGGACCCCAGCGCCGGCATCATCCGTAGAGGCACAAGTGTTCGAAGAGAGAGTGGACCTGAGCAACAACATGACCTGTAGGCAAATGATCGGAGTGGGAGTCAGAAACGTGGTCCTTGCGCGAGGGGAGCTCGATAAACTCGAGGGGCCAGGATACGCCGCGAGGAGGACGGAGTTGCGCCGAAAGGCGAAAGAAGCCGCGAGAACAAGGGACCGGCAGGCGGCGGCGTCACAGGACGAGGCAGAAGGGAACGACGCGACAGAGGAGGAAATGACAAGGGAGAGAACGACGAGAGTGGGACGACCGCGAGGTGGCATGAAGGTTGCAGCGAGAGTCGGAGAGAGACTGCGAAGAGAGATAGGAAGAGGCAGACTCCCTAGGGTGGGCGACGGCTAGCGCACCACACACCTCTCCTTTAAATCCCTGTGTGGTGGCGGCGTGCCGTCCTCCCATCCCTCCCTTGGGTTGTCTGTTTTCTTTCTTTCTTTCTTTTTTCCGGTCTCCCACCCCTCGTTTGGCGTGCTCGTTTTATTTATTTATTATCCGGTCCATTCGTTTTGATTTTCCGGTCGGGATGCAACATGCAGGCGAGCAAGAAAACGGCGGCCGAGCAAGGAGCACCTTTCCTGGCAACAGCATTACGAATCTTGGATCTTGGATCTTCATTCAATGCGGAAAAGGGACACACACACAAATCGGGCCCAAGGCAAAAGAACGCATTGCAATATATTCGGGTAGAGTGTGGAGTGGGGAGTGGGGTCGGCTACGTGAAGAGCGTTGCGCGCTTCCGACACACAAACGCGAAACGGACACCTCTCGCGCTTATACCACCTTCCAGTTCCACACACCTACCTGACCTCTAGCTCTACCGACTCGAGCGTCGAGGAGATGGCGCGAACGTAACCGAAGCAGCGGCGTGCGACGTGCCGACGCCCGACGTCCAGAATCGATCGGCTGTGTATATTTCATTTTGGGGAGCGCTCGTTTCCTTAGTTTAATTCCGACGTGTTTTTAAATGTGTTCTTCGCGGGGACCTGTTCCTTTTTACCCATCTCACAGTAGAGACGAGAGGTGTCCGTCTTTATTTATTTATTTGTTCTTCGCTTTGTCCTTCCTCTCATGATGCTCCTTCGACTTAGGGAGCGGTTCAGCTGCTGGGCGGGCTTCAGGGTGGTGCTCACGCGAAAAGGAATCGACGCGATGTACAAAAAGCATACAACAAGAGGAGAAAGAAGAGGACGGACATCAGTGATGACGAAACAGAAGCTAGCGCAGACGAGGGCAGGGCAGACCCGGGGACGGCGGAGTCGGAGCAGACGGCATCGGCCGCCGAGGAAACGCGTTGGGAAGAGGCACGAGGAGGGCGGCGACCTCAACCGACTATGGAGGACCCGTCGCCAGACGACGCAGGGCAGACGACGGGGAGGCGGAGCAGACGCGCAGGGCGAGACGAGGGAGGGAGCAGGACTTTGCGGAGATCAGCAGGAGGATGTACGAAGAGATTAGGAGCAGCAGGGACCCGAGTAGGGACCATGCCTGGAAGACGGCTAGTGTGCTGCTAGTCCCCCACCGGGAGGACGACCCCGGCTAGTCGCCGACCACACCCACAAAGAACCCTGCACAAAGACCGCAGGGCGGGGACCTGTTCCTTTTTACCCATCTCCTAGTAGAGGTGGTGTCCGTTTTAGTTATTTATTTATCCTTCCTCTCACGTTCGACTTCTCTCGGGGCTCGGCGGTGCAGTGTCCGTCTCCAATGGCGTGGCGGCGTTCCCCGCAGCGCAGTGCGACGGCTCCGCCTCGTGAGTTCGCGAGGGCGGCGGGTCGGGGGCGAGGGAGATGCCGACAAAGCCCGCCACGACGAGGAGGGCGCCGGCGAGGCGCAGAGGCGTGGGCGGCGAGGGGTCAACGAGCCAGCCGCGGGGCAGCACCAGCTCGGAGGCGATGGCGATGGGGACGGTGAGGGAGAGGCCGACCGTGGCGACGGCGGGGGAGGTGAGGAGGACCGCCTTGGCCCAGAGCGTGTCGCTCAGCACGTTGTCTGCGAGCCCCTTGAGGAGCAGGCAGCCGAGGATGCCGCCGCCGCCCGCCAAGCCCAGGCGCGAGAGGTCCTCGGCGCCCGTCACGTGCAGCACCGCGACGAGTGGGGCGAGGGCGAGCGCGTTGAAGGCACCGACCAACCCGAAGAAGAGGAGCAGGTCCGTCGGGGCGAGCGCGCGGAGCAGCACAGTGTAGCACGCGTAGAGCAACGCCGAGCACAGGCACAGCAGCGCCCCGCCAGTGGTCGCGTGGAGTCCGCCACTCTCGCCGCCGCCGCCGCCGCCGCCGCCTGTGGCGGCGGCAGTGGGACCCGCGGCGTCAACCACCGCCAGCACGTTACCCGCCCAGCAAGCCAGCACGCCGGCCACCTTGAAGGCGGTGCTGCGGTCGGCGCCGACATGCTCGCCTAGAGGGAGGGCGGCAGCCTGGGTGTGGAGAGGTGTGCGGCGAGAGAGGCCGCGCGCCACTGCTCGCCGAGGAGGGCGATCGAGAGGAGGAGGGTGAATGCGGCCGACGAGGAGGCGAGCACAGTGGAGGTCGTGACGGTCGTGTGAGCGAGCGACACGTTGTACGTCACGTTGGCGGCAAACCAGACGGGGCAGAGGGCGAGCGCGCCGCGTACCGCCGCGAGCCAAGCCGAGCGGCGACTCGCTCGCTCGGCTGCGCCTCTCTCTGTGGGGCCAGTGGCCTCGTCCAACTCCTCTGCGGGCGTCAGAGCAGCGGTCTGGTCCAGCAGCCCAGTCGCTGGAGGATCGTAGACCGCGCTCCTGAGCGCCTTGATTGGGAGCAGGATCACAAAGCAGGAGTTGGCGACGTAGGTGAGGAAAACGGGCCGCTCAAACTCGAGGGTGGAGAAGATCGCTTGCACGAGCACCGTGCTGGCGGACCAGATGAGCGCGACGGCGATCACGAGCACGACGCCCAATGTCCAGGCAGAGGACCCGGGCATTGTAGGAGAGCGACTAAGGTGGGCGCTCAGAGAACTTAGACTAGTCGTGCAGCAGCTCAGAGACTCAGACTAGTTTTTGCGCCGGCGCCACCAAAGCGGCTCCCCGGGTTTTGGAGAAAGAAGTAATCCGCCCACAAGAAAAGATCCAAGCCGCTTTTCTTCTTCTTCGACTTGGAAGCGAAGCGCCGACCACGAGCCGACCACGCGAGCACTGAGCTCTTGGAGCGTTCGTGTCCATCGAAAGTTCCATGGTCCAAACTTATGGCCAAGCTGATCGATATCCTCTCGTATGGCGGGTCAACTCCTGATATCGTCATCAACTACGTCGTTTGTAGTGTGGTCCTCTTCGCAGCGGGCAGAGCGCAGCTGCGTGACGTCGAGGCGAGCCGGGCGTCGCTGTGCTGGGCCTCCAGCGCCTTGGCATTCGTCATCGCCTTCCAGCTCGGCCTGTGCACCGTCATCGGCTGTACGGGCATCTCCATCATCTGGAATGCGGCCGCCGGCTACGCCGTCATCTTCGAGCTCCGCGCAGGCCCGCTTCGCGTGTGGGGCGAGGAGGTTGGCATCCCGACGAGGCACCGGGCGCACGGACGTCCGCCGGCGCGGCCAGCGCCAACTCTGGTCGCGGCGCTGGTGCTGTGCGCCGCGGCGGACGTCTTCTACGCCGCCGTCGCACCGCCCCTCACCACCGCCGCCCACGGCTGCGCTCTGGTCTTGGGCGCCGTGCTTGCCGCCGCCCATGGCTGCGTGCGCCGTCTCGCCGCGTGCTGCACCGCCACCAGCACCGCCCTTCCGCCCGACGCGCAGCCGCTCGCCAGATCCGACACGCTCGCCCCCACCTAGCTCCTATGCGGTTTGCGCTCGTTTTGAAGTACTCGAGTGCCCGGCGCGGCGAGACGCCCTGCCTGTGGCATGTGCCCTGAACCTCTGCCCACCCGCTACGCGATTACTGGTATTGGGCGTGATGTCCGGGATCCGGTTATTTTTCCGTTTTTTAAACGACGGGAGCGTGCGCGCGCGCGCGCGAGCGCGTGTGGCGGTACGTCGGCGACCCGCGACGGCAAAATTCTTTTGTCGCGCAAATACAGGGTTCTGGCGGGCAAAGATCACATGCTGCGCAGCCTACTCATCGCCCGCCCTGGCACCGCGCGGAGTTCTGTTCGGCGCGTGTGCACCGCGGCTGCGGAGGCGCTCCCGCTGCATCGGCGCGGGCCGGAGCTGCAGAGCGGTAGCGCAAACGCGTGGCTGCGGGAGCAGGGCCGAACGCCTGGCTGCATTATTGGTGACAAGCTGCCGCAGGTCCCGTTTTGGGTGGAGCGAGCGGCGCTCGACAGACTGATGCGCAAGCCGGGATTCGAGCTAAGCTCACTGCACCTCAGCCTCGAGGGCGAGATCATCCGCGCGCTCCCCGCAGAGATCCAGCGCTTTGAGAATGGGCACGACACGCATGCGATCCACATCACCTTCCAGAGGTGGCCACGCGACGCGCAGCGGAGCCCGGTCAAGCGGCGGCTCCACAGCAGGCTCATCAACGAGATCAAGTGCCCCGCCGTCAAGCAGGGCGGCTACGTGCACGAGTTCTACTCGCGGCTCGGCATCCCCGTGCTGCTACACGACCCTGACAACATCCCGCAGCACCTCGTGATCGACATGGCGAGGCACGACAACGGCGACATCCGCGCCGAGCACATCGACGTGCCGCCAGGAGTCACGCTGCGGCCGCAGCACGGCGCGCCAATCGAGCGGCAGCGGCCGCCCGCCGCCGCCTCACAGCTCACCCTCTCCCTGCGCCGCCCCCCCTCCTTGCAGGTCAGCCGGCCAACTTTCTCGTCGCGCGCGCTAAGCGCATCCGAAGCTAAGGAAGGCGAGAGACTTAGGCCAGATTCGTATCGGTGTATGTGTTGCAAGCGTGACCTCTCCCCAACGGAGCAACACATTGTGTTCTCGTAAGCCGTACCAAAAAGGTACCAAAAAGCGTACCAAAAAGCCCTCTGGGGCGTGGGGGGGCGCGGGGCCGGGGGCCCCCGGAGGCACCGTGCGCCGCGCCGCAGTGCGGAAACGGGCCCGGCTCCGTTAGTCGAGTAACGGCGTTAGTCTCCGTTAGCACCCCACCGACTTCCCGATTAAGCTAGGTTAATCAGAAGGCAGATTTGGAGAGATCTCGAGAAGTACACATACAGATAGACCCTCCAACCATCAGAAAACTCCGACCTGATCGGTCGTACTGACCGCCGACAGATCACTCCAGACAGCAGACAGGCCGACGTCTGCAACTGCATGCGGCCGGCCGGGCGGAGAGGCTTGACACGATCCGACCCTGCGACCCTGACGCTGCTGCTCTAGCTATCAGACATGCACTGCTGACTGCTGCCACAATGTGCGACCTGTGCTGGCCCACTTGGCGGCCTTCCCGGTCAGTGGTGAGGCGCAGTTCAGAGCTGTCAATGGCGCGATGCCGCACTGGTCCCACATTGGTGACACGAGACCACCAAGTTTGCCGGTCCAAGAGAGAGGTACCGGCGCTGTCCTGAGAAGGTGCGTGGTCCCTCTTGACTGCCCATGCGCGCGAGGCTGCGTAGGCATAGCCTCGAGAGTGCCAGCAGCCAATCCGAGGCGACGCGCATTGCGCCAGAAGCGTGCACACGTTGGAAGGACGCCTTCCTACTGACCGTACGATCAGGTCGTCACTGAATGCTTGATACTAAGGCCGCGAGCTATGCAGGTGATCAATTGTGCAGCAGGGCACGGCCAGCAGCGCCGACAGGCTGTCGCAAGGCGTGATAGCATGGCCGCAATCTCCGCCGAATTCCCATGAAACAAGTAAAAAATCGCGCAAAAAAATGTCGAAAAAATCGGCGCCTGCGGCGGGCCGTTCGACCCCATCTCCCCCCCGCATGGATACCCTCTAGGGCCCCCGCGACCCCCCAGAGAAAAAGCCGCCGCCCGCGCGTGTGCCCCGCGTGCTGGGCGTATATATACAATATTCAAAAAGAAGTGAGTACGTGCGTCTCGCCTCGACTACCCGGGCTCGTGCGCGCGGCGCCTCCCCTCGCTTCGTCTCTCTCTCTGCGGATGGGGATGCACTCGCCGCCCCCGCCCTGCGGCTCCACCTGAAGGCCACGTGCACCGGGAGCGCGTGTGGACGGCGTCCCATTTCGCGGCGCCGCCGCGTTGGTGCGTCCGACGCAAGCAAAGGCGAACTCTGGAGCGGTGTTTGCCTTCAGCAGAGGGCGGCGAGCGACAAGACTCTGGCGTGTCGCCAGAGCCGTCTCTAGCTCCGACGACCGTGTGGTGGTGCGGCAGGCGCTTGCGGCTGCCTGCCTGGGTGAGGTCGATACGCCAAGTCGCTCTGCGATACTCACGTCGAGGTGAGGCTCTAGCAGCGCCCAGTCCTGGCACCGAGGACGAGAGGAGAGAGGTTTGCCGAGGGCCAAAATAAGGCAAGATGCGGGGCACGAGGCGCAAGAGACTGGAGAGCGGGGCTGGGAGAGTGGCGTGCGCCTGCGACGCCATCCATTTGGCGAGGATTGTGTTGCGGTAACGCGGAAATTCGAAGAGCGGGAGATACCGATCGCCCATGCCGTCGCAAGGCAGCACCCGGCACCAGTGACCGCACCGCCTCAGCTCGTCTTCGGCCTGCATGATGACGCCGAGGTCGGCGTTGTCCAAAGCCGCGATCGGCGTCTCCTGCAGCTCAAAGACGTTCCGCCGCTTGAGAGGCTCGGTTGCTGCACGCAGCAGCCGTGAGCGTCGCTTCTCCTCGGCATCGTCAGCGAGCGCCTAGAACGAAACCAGGGCGGTGGGGAAAAGGGTTGACTTGGCGCAGCATCAGCGAAAGGGGTGCCGCCTTCTTGTGGAAGGGGACCAGCCCGATCAGATGGAAGAGGTCTGTCATCAGCATGTTCTTGATCCACTTGTCGAGTGGGGAGGAGGAGGCGAGCGAGCAAGCAACGTTGACCTCGATGAGCCACGGCTTGAGAGCCTTGTCCAGCAGCACGTCAAACCCGAAGAGCTCAAAACACGCGGCTCGCCCGTTGCATGCCGCGTTCATCTTTGACACGACCGATGGCTGCGGACGGTGGCGCAATGGTGGGGAAGGCCGCCAGAGTGGCTCGCAACGCGGTGTCGGGTGGGGGCGTGTGCCACCTCCACGGCGATGATCGTCTTAACGACGAGGTCATGGATCCGTTCGCGCAGCGCCCGCACGTCGGCGCCCGCCTGGGCGAGATGCTTCATGGTGGCTGAGAGCGACCACTTCGAGCCCTCGTCGTCGCGCGATGCGTCTGTGTTACGCTCGAAGCGCTCGTTCCTCTTGTTGACCGAGTAGTTGGTCAGGTGCATGTACCGGTCCTTGATGGAGCGCTTGGAGGCGCCGGGAGCCCGGTAGTCTGAGGTGGCGAAGCGCGCGAGGCCTTCCTGCAACATTTCGAGACGACGCGGGTCTGAGCACGAGCGAGTGAGTGGCTATCGAAGCGTCGCGACTCGCCTCAAAGACGTAGACGCGGAGGGGATCAAAGGAGGTGACGGCGACATAGATGCGCAGGTCGAACTTTTTCCCGTTGATGAGGTAGGGCTCGCCGAGGTACCGCTGTACGATGGCGGATACGCCTAGAGGGAGGGGGGAGCGTGGGCACGCTCCGCCGCGCACACAAGGCTGCGACCTCACGCGCGCGCACCCTTGCCGGGCAGCTGGTCTGATCGGTTGATGAGGCGGATACCTCTTCCCTCGGCCTGAGCGGGCGGCTTGATAATGTACACGGTGCCTTCCTCATAGTCGCGCTCAAAGTGCTCCCGGTCGCGAGGGAGAATGTACGACTTTGCGCAAAAGTCGTACGCGGCACCTGTGACGACAGGGGAGACCTCTCGTTACTCAGTTCCCTGAGAGCACCGGCACCAGCGAGGCGGCAAGGGGTCGGCTCCGCTCGCCGTGTTGCCTCTGCATGCGGCTCAGGTTACGCCACAGGTAGTCCTTGCGCCCAATCCCGTACGAGCCCGGGAAGTGGTTGACCGCCTGACGGCGACATGGCGCTGCGTCAAGATTTACGCCCCCGATTCGCTCTGGCTCTGCGCTGAGCGGGCCTGGTGAGGGTTGAGTGCGCGCAGCGCCTTCTCGTTCAGGTGGCGCCCCCAATACAGATTGAAGGACTGGCCCTTGATGAGCCGTTTGAAGCCCGATCGCTTGCATGCGTTGGTGATGCAGTTAATGTTCTTCTCCGAACGGAAGTAGAGTGGCTTGAGACTACGGGGACCGACGGCGGGACGGCCGCAGTCAGCCGAGGTTGAGAATTTGGCCACCGCTGGCGACGGCAGGGGACCACCGTGGATCGGTGAGCTCGACAAGCACGCCGCGCCCCTGCTCGCGCTGCATTCCCATGTAGGCCGGATAGTCTAGCCACACGGTCGCCGCTCGATCGCGAAAGAGCGACGGGAGCAGGAATGCGCGGTCGCTCTTGGGGTCAGCCTGTGGGGCCTCGGCCGGCGGGGGCTCCTCCGGCTCCTCCTCCGGCTCCTCCTCCGGCTCCTCCTCCGCGCGGTCCTCGTCGCCGTCCGCCTCATAGATGCCTGCACCCTCCCCATCGCTCTCCATCATCCAGGGGCACGCACCTCCACAGGGCTGTGGCAACCGGGCGCAGAGGCATGTAACCGTAAAAAATCGTCAATGGTTTTGTTTTTTCTTTCTTTTTTTGTATGTAGCTCTTTATACGTACATTCCCGTAGGAGGACTCTGCTGACAGGGTTTGCGATGAGGAACGACCCGAAGGGTTTCTCGGAGGTTAGCGCACCACTAACCGCCGATTTTCGTTTCATGTGGGGGCTCTTGTTGTTCGCCTTTCTTCTATCTGTCTATCAATTGTCTGCCTAACCTAACCTAATCAATCAATCTTCCCAACATTTTGTACCTTGGGTGCCGGAGGAGCACTGGGCAGAGGCTGCTAGGTCCTAGGAGCGCCTATAGCTCGACATGCCCGGGGTGTGGCGGCGCCGAGGACAGAGGCAGGCTGCTTTAAACCTTTAATCCGGTTGTGTCTTGTGTGGAAACCGCCCGTCTTGCGTCCACCACACACTCACGTGAACAGACATGGCGTTCGCCTTCCTGGGACCCAGACACCCAGTTCACTGTCTTGTGTGCGTTTTCATGAAAAAAGAACCCCCCACACAGCGGAGAAAACGCACCCGGCCCGCGGCGATGGACGCAAGCTTCTGGCGTGAGACCTTTGAGGCGGCGCTGCGCATCACACGGGCGTGGCGCGCCGAGCAGGCGCACAGCGAGACGCTCCTCGCCGCAGCGATCGAGTTCGACGGCCGGCTCACGCTGCTCGGGCCGTCGGCGCACCGCACACGGCCAGAGGCGCTCGGCGCGTTGCTTCGGACAGGCGACGTGGCCGCCATCGACGCGCTAAGAGCGCGACACGAGCGTGGACTTTCCAACCTGCGCACGGCACTAAACACATCGGTGGAGCGGTTTGGCGCGCTGCAGCTGGAGGCGGCGGCACTCCACGGTCGTTCGTGGGAGCGGTACACGAGGCTGCAGCACTCGCTGCCGCAAGAGGAGGCGCTTGCGCTCGCTTCGGAGCCGGCCAGCGTCGTGATTGGAGCCGGGCGCGGTGTCCTGGCGGAGCAGGGCTTGCTGCCCGAGGCGCCGACGTTGCTTGGGTGGCTGCGCGACGCGAGCGCCTCACTAGATGCGCGCATACCCACGCCGGGCTCGCGTCTGTGCCGCGGCCAAGGCTCGCGCCGCCCGCTCAGCGTGCGTGCCTCCCTCCCCTCGCCCGTGCAGGTCGATCGCGCCCTCTCACGCGAGATGGAGCTCAAGCTTCGGCTGCTGCCGCTGCTCGCGCCATCGGCGCGCGGCGACGCAACCCCGGGCTTCCTCGCGCGCGCCGCGCGCCTCTGGTGCCTGCAGCCAGCCTTGGATCGGAGGGCGCTAGAGCGGCTGTCGTTCGCCGCGAGCTCCCTGGCTGTGGAGGAATGATTGGTTTTCTTTCGTGTACGTGGGAGGATGCGCACGCACTTTGCGTTTGCCACCCCTCTCGTCTCGCGCCCCGACTTTTATTACTCTTTACGTTCTCCGCGCACTCCGCTGCTCTCCGGAGAGAACCACCGGAGTCCCCGCCCGTGCCAAAATCGAATACTTCTAATCAACCCCGAGAGAGACGACCCAACAGCGGCGCGGCCCCTCCCGGGGGGCGCCCACATTGTGTCTCTGACTGACTCTCTTGACTCTCTCTCTCTCTCTCTCTCTCTCTCTCTCCGCCACACACACACACCGAACACATACACACACACACACACACACGACGCGGCAGCCTCTCCGGGCCCCTCTCCGCCTCACTGGACTGAGAGCACCATCTTCAGGGTGTTGATCGTCTCGAGGATCTTTGCGCGCCGCGTGGCCGACGAGGCGCCGTCCGTCTGCCGCTCGAGCCGGTCGAGCTCGTACTTGGCCTCCTCGAGCGCGTTGCGGCCCGCGTCGTTCTTGATCGACGCGTCGCCGCCCGCCTCGAGCAGGCGCGCCGCCACGGCGACGAAGCCCTCGCGCGCGAGCGTGTGCAGCGGGGTGCCGCCCTCAAAGGGCTCCTGCATGTTGAGTGAGGCGCGGGCGCCAAGCAGCAGCTCGAGCGTCACCATCCGGTCCGTCGCGTCGTCGCAGAGCGCGAGCAGGTGCAGCGACGACTGCCCCTCTCCGGTGGTGACGTCGACAAGCTTTGCGTCGTGCGTGAGCAGCACCCGCACCACGTCGTGCGCGCCGTTGGCCACGGCGTTGTGCAGCGGCGTGAACCACTGCTCGAGGCCGTCGTCGCGGCGCGGGTCGGCCCCCGCGTTGAGGAGCAGCCGCGCGAGCTCGGCGGACGCCTCGCCGACGATGTCTGTCCAGGTGGCCACGTAGTTGAGCAGCGTGATGTTTTCCGTCGGGCGCGTGAAGAGGTAGTCGGGCCCGACGGCCCAGCCGTAGTCGGACTTGTAGACGGTGTCGGCGTGCCCGCCCTGCTGCAGGAAGCGGCGCACCTCCTCGACCGAGCCGGACATGCAGTGACGGAACACGTCGCCCGCGTCGAGCGCGTGCGCCTCCTCGTAAGAGTGCGCGCCCTGCCGCAGGCCGACCTGGTCGAGCGACGCCATCAGCGCCGCCTGCTCGAGCGCCTCGGCGTCGCTCAGCTCGTACCCGCCCAGCGAGCGCGAGTTCTCGCGCGAGAGCGGCCCCTCGGGCGCGACGAACTGCGGGCGCGGCGTGAGCACGCCGCCCGCCTGCGCCTGCTGCTGGCGCGCCGTCTCCGCCTCGCGCCGGAGCGACAGGATGTACGCGTGGTCGACGCTGAAGCCCGTGCCGTCGGCGTTGGCGAGGCCGAGCAAGGGCGTCTCCCCGTCGCCCTGCCGGTGCCCGACCGACCACACCAGCGGGGAGGGCGGCGGCGGCTCGAGCGCCTTGAGCAGGAACCACTGCAGCCGCGCGTCGGGGCTCAGGTTGAAGGCGTCGATGCCGAGCGTGTTGGAGAGGGCGCGCATCGCGGGCAGCAGCGGCGTCACCGTCGGCACGAGCGTCACCATCGGCTTGGGCGCGCCGCACACCTCGCACGCGGTGTTCCTCGGCTTGTTGATGCACGTGCACTGGACGCACGGCCACTCCTTGGCGGACGAGTTGTGGTACTGCCACTGCTGCTGCGCGTACGAGAGCGCCGTCGCCGGCAGCCGCACTCCGGTACCGCTGCTGAGGAGGACCAGCTGCTGCAGCGTCAGCACCCAGAGGATCACCGTCTCGGCCGTGTCGCCGTCGCGCGCGCCAAAGTCGTACGAGCGCGCGGCGGTGTGCAGCGAGAACCAGCTGGTCGGCGCCACGTCCGGCGCGGCCGATGAGTGGTACAGCTTCTGCAGCGGCTTCGTCTCGAGCCCGATCGAGACGCGGACGACCTGCGAGAGGGCCGCGGCGCGTCTCTCCGGCTGGGGCCGGGCTGCACCTCCGCTGCGCTCTCTCGGCGACACCCTCGGCTACACCCTCGGCTACAATCCCGGCTGCATCCCGCGGGCCGCGCCTGCGAGAGCTCGAGCCCGTGGCCTTTCTTGCCGCCGTCCCACGTGAGCGACTTGCGGTCGGCGGAGAGGGCGACCGCCTTGGCGTCGAGCTTCTTCCGCGTGAAGGTGCCCTCCGCCACCTTGAGGAACGTGGCGCCGCGCTGCAGCCGCGCCACCCTCGCCGCCAGCGGCTCGCACGGAAGCCCCGCCGGCGGACCGGGCACGTACGACACCGGGCCGGAGGGCGTCGGCAGCCCGCGAGCGGCCGCCGCGCCGCCCCGTGGCGGCGTGGCGAGCACCGTGGAGTGCTCCGCCTCGAGCTTGGCGAGCAGCTCCTTCGCCGTCGCGAGCTCGGCGCTCATGGCCGCCTTCTCGCGCTCCGCCGCTGCCTGGTTCTGCTCGGCGGCGCTGGCGCGCTCGATGGCGGCGCGCAGCGCCTCCTCGTCGCGGGCGGTGCTGGCCGACTGCAGCGCGGACGAGGCCTGCGCGCTCTCCTGCAGCGAGGCGTGGCGCCGCTTCGCCGCACGCGCGGCCTCGGTCGACAGCCCGATCTCCTCGGCCTGCGCCAGGAGCTGCGTCAGCTCGGCGAGGCTGCCGCCCTTGGCCGCGGCCGCCAGCTTCTTCTCGAGCGCGTCCTTGGTCTTGAGGCCCTCGAGCATCCGCTGCGCCTGCGTCACCTGCCCCGAGTTGAGGCCGCTCTTCTGCGCCGCGTCGAGCGCGTCGCGCAGCTTCTTGACGTCCTTCGAGGCGAGCGCCGCCGCGAGCGCGTTGGAGGCGACCTGCTGCGCCTTGAGCTGCGTCAGGAGCGCCTTTGCGTCGCTGACCTTTTGCGCGCCTTTCTTCGCGTCCTTCTCGAGCCGCACCGCCGCCGCCTGCTTGAGCGCCGCCTCGACCGCGGCGACGTCGCGCATTTCCATCGCCTCGGTCAGCGCCTCGAAGGCCTTCTCGCGCTCGCGCAGCGTGGCGAGCAGCGCCTTTGCCTCCTCGACCAGCTTGCCCGTCAGCCGGATCTCGACCGCCCTCGCCACCGCCTCGTCGAGGGAAGCGAGGTCTTGATCGGCGATGGCCTTGGTCAGGGTCTGCGTGATGACGCGCCGCAGGTGCGACTCGCGCGCGACCTCGAGCTGCTGCTGGTGCGAAGCCTTGAGGAAGAGCTTCGTCGTCCCGACGGCCCAACCGTCGGTCGCAAACATGTCGGCGGCGGCGAGCGCGCCGAGGAGCTGCACCGTCTCGGTCTTTGTGCCGGCGGGCGGAGAGGCGGAGCCGAGGTACGTTTGCAGGTACGGCGCGAGCTTCGCCGCGTCGCACTCGACCCCCTCGCGCAGGTAGCCGTACCGCGCGATGAAGGTGTCAAAGTCGTACCGGTGCGCGAAGCCCTGCTTGCGCGCCTTGACCACGTGAACCATCCCCATCTGCTGCAGCTGCCGCATCACGTACGCGCCGTCAAAATCGTCCGGCGCGAGGTGGTGGTTGGGCTTGATGCAGCGCACAAAGTGCGGCGAGCACGTGTGCAGCATCCCCATCAGCGAGTCGAGCGACTCCTGAAACTGCCGGCCGACCGACACGACCTTGCGCCCGCCGCCGCCGAGGCGCGCGCGCGCGCCGCCGCCGCCGCGGTGCCGCGCGAAGGACATCGTCCGCTCGCCCTTTGGCTTGCCGCCGCCGCCGCCGCCGCCGCCGCCGCCGCCGCCCTCCTCGTCGGCCGCAAAGAAGCCGCGCACGAGCGGCAGCTGCGAGGTGCCCAGCAGCTGCGACAGCTCCGAGGGGACCGCGCCGCGCGACTTTGCGACAAAGTCGTCGATGGCGTACGCCACCTCGCCCGCAAAGTGCAGCACGACAAAGCCCTCGCCCTGGGCGCGCGGCATCTGCCGGTACATGGACGCGCCGCGGTGCGCCTCGTTCATCTTGGTGAGCAGGTTGGCGTCGGAGGCGTTTGGCACGAGCACCTCGTCGTGGATCAGCGCCATCAGCCCCGTCGGCTTGGCCTCGAGCAGCACCATGACGGCCGAGTTGTCGGCGAACTGCAGCTGCGGGCACGCGACGCCCTCGTCGCGGCACTCCTTCTCCTCCATCTGGAAGATGTAGATGTTGAAGTACTGCATCAGCTTCTCGTTCGCAAAGTTGATCAGCAGCTGCTCGAGCGAGTTGCGCGAAAAGGCCTCGAACCCGAAAATGTCTAGCAGCCCGATGGTGCGCTTGTTCCCGCCGCCCAGCGCGGCGCCCGCGCCCGCACCCATCTTCTCGTTGATGCGCCCGAAGATCCAGTCGAACAGCGAGCCGTACAGCGCCTTTGCGAGCGCGTCGCGCGCGACCGCCGCCTTCTCGGGCGGCTGCGGCACCGCAACCACCGGGAACTTGCCCACATTCTTGATGGTGAGCGCCGTCTCGAGCTCGAGCGGTGAGATGTCGAGGGCCGCCGCCGCCGCCTTGAGCGACGCTTGCGACGCCGGCGACACGCACGACCCGTCGTCGGCGTTGGCCATCTCCTTGGCGTCGAAGGCGAGGTTGCCGAGGGTGAGGATGCCTACAGCCGGCCGCCACGCCTCCCGCCTCGGCGCCGTTCGCCTCTTTAGACCGCCCTCCACGCCGGGCCGACCCCACACCCCGCCCCCCCCCGCCGCCCCCACCCCTTCCCGCCCGCTGCCCGCCACGGGGCGAACTCCCTCGGCCTCCCCTCCCCTCCCGCCTCCCCGCCTCCCCTCCTGCCTGTCGGCTCCCCTCCTCTCCAAGCACGTGCAAGCGTGCGTGCGTGCGTGTGCGTGCGTGCGTGCGTGCGTGCGTGCGTGCGTGCGTGCGTGCGTGCGTGCGTGCGTGCGTGCGTGTGCGTGCAGACCGCGTGTCGTGCCGCCAGCCTCCCCGCCACAGTGGGTGAGTGCGTCGGGTTGGGTGGGGCGGAGCGGCGCCGGCAAGGACGCGGC